ATTTATATTTGGCTTTTGATCTCTTAGACTACTTCATAGACTTGGCCAACAACAAAGGAAACCATTTAGGAAATCTCCAGTTGCTCTCATGGAGAAGGGAAACGGAGATGACTTTTTCTTGTAGAACACCAACACTCAATTCCCGTGTGTTCCTACGTGGATTCCTTTGGTTAAGATCATTGTCCCGTATCAAGGCTATCTTGAGCTCACTTGCATTCTGGACAGCTCTAGATTTTTTCTGATAGTTCATATTCAGGCCTCTAAAATCACATGTATTTTTTCTCCAATTGATACTATGACAGCCTTCCCCTAGTGTATTTCACTCTCTCTCTGTTCTACTGACTCAAATCCATCCTTTTTCTCATGAGTAGTATACTGTGTCCTTAATTCTAGGAATCACAATACAAACTCTTGAGTACTTCCTTAAAGCTATCTCAGAGATCCTGAATTAAGAATGTAGCCTCTCATCTAGGCATTATAGCAGCTGCCTGGAATCTCAGGACACAGGAGGATCTTCAATCCAAGGTTAAACCTAGGCTACATAGCAAGTTCAAGTCCAGTTTGTATTAAATAGTGAGACTGTGTCTCAAAAAAATGCAGCTTCTGTCCCTCTCTCACGGGGAGGGCTTAAGTAGCTTTTAAGACAGTAGAAGTGGACTGGAATGTTTTTCCAGTACTCTCTCTCTCTCTCTCTCTCTCTCTCTCTATATATATATATATATATATATATATATATAGTATATATGATATTTATTGAGTTTTTATTACCTATTATTTATAATTCCCTTTTATATCTTAAAATAGTGATAGTTATTATGTCCTTCCATGTTATAGACTGTCTGATAAATAGGTGCTATTATCAGTGCCTTTTATTTTTTGATGGTACCAGGAATTGAACTCATGACTTACCGCTTGCAGTGCAGGCTCTGTGCCATGGAGCTATATCCCCTGCCCGTATTAATATCTTTTGAAAGGTGAGAAAGTGAGGTGTAGTGAGGGTAAGTAACTTGTCTAAACTCGCATTGTTTACCTTGAGTAAACAATGTCATTAGTACTCTCCATGCGTTTTTCAGTTCTGTTATTGGACTTTGACTTTTGACTGTTTACCTGTGAGTGTTGCATGAAGTGTCACTTACCACTTTTGAGGTCCCTACTTTATAAGCCTAGCATACATCTTTGCAATACAGGGGAGATGGCACCAATCATTTTCTTCTTCGATTTCCTGGCTTTATAGGAAGTTGATAAAAACGAGTCCCATTTTATCATTCAGTCATGTGTGTATCAAGAAGTTTGGGTTATAGGATGAGGAGACAGGGCTAGGGTGGTACTCAAACTCCTGTGAATACAGTGCAGACTTTCTGCTGGGTTTCTATGCAGTCAGTGGAAATATCAGTGTTATACTTGCTTCGGTTGCCTCTAGACATATTTCCCCCAGACATCTTGAATGTGTTCTCAGGGATCTTCAGCATACAAGTGTTGGTCACTCTGGATCTTTGCCCATAAGCATTGGGAAGATTGTAAATGGCACAAACAATTCTCTCAACATGTTTTTGGTGCTCTGTTCACATTCCATTTCCTGGCTGGTTCACCATTTGCTGCTGGAATACTGAAAATGAACACTTTCACTTCTGGCCACCTAGCTTCTGTTGGCTAACACAGCCCGCTTACCTGGATTCTACACAGGGGTGGCAACAGTACTAGGGTATGAAATTCTTCATTTCCTGATTCAAGAGTAGTGATCCTGCTGATTATTTCATTCCCAACTTCCCTGGTAGGTGAAGCCAAGATTTGACTTTTCCTGACACCTCAGCTTAGTCTACTTCTTCTCCTTTATTATGGCTAATATCCAGCTGACCCTCCCAAAACTTCATATAATCCTGTGTGGGGCTCCTTGGAGGTGGCTGGATGTACAGTATGTGATTCTGAGAGCAAGTATATGATGCTGGAGTAAGCATGTGTGATTGCTAAATTGGTTTTAGTGTGGTTTGGCATAGTTCTGGGTGTGGATAATGGGGAGGTCCACCCTGGGGGTGGGCAGCACCATGCAAAGGGCAAGTGGCTTGGATATAATACAAGGGACAGAAAGAAGGCAGGGCTGCTGCTGCTACTTTGCTACTTTGCTACTTTGTTGCTTTGTTGCCTTCTACCCACCATGAATTGTTTCTCCTCTGTGCTGCCTCTCTACCATGCCACCCTGCCTTGAACTAAAACCTCTACAAACTGTGAGCTAAATAAACCTTTCCTCATTTAACTTTGGGTATTGGCTATTCTGTCTCAGCAATGAGAAAAGTAACTAAGGTACCCTTTCTTTTCTTCATTCCTTTAACTAAGAGATTGCTCCTGAAAGCATATTTCTCCTGAAATAGGAAGATTTTTAAATTCTTTATTGTATCAGTCAAGTTTTATTTCTCTTTAGAGTCAGATTAATATCTGACTTTTTTTTTGAGACAGGGTCTCCCTATGTAGTTTAGTCTGGTTTTGAACTCCTGGCGATTCTTCTATCTCAGCCTCCCAGCAATGTCTGACTTTGTAAAAATAGGTCTGTTTTACTTAGTTTTCACATTTGTTGACATGAATACTTTAATTATGTACTTACATTTATTTTTCTTTTTCATCTTAAATATTTATTTTTATTTTCATTTCTACTTTATATTTCTGAGGTTTTTATTCTTTTCAAAGTAATGATTTTGGCTATGTTGATTTCCTCCTTTTAATAATATGTTCTTATATTAGTGACTTTTCTTCATTATTTTGTTACTTTTACCTTCTTTGCATTTATTTTTTTCTAACTTATTTTCACACTTACTGCTATTACTATAAATATTTAACCACATATTTTCTTTCCCCTATTCTTTTGTTTTCATATGTGATGTACAACTTCCACATACTTTTCACTTCTATTTTCCATTTTATTATAATTTATTGATAGAGGGTTATTTTTAAAATTTAACATCGAACATTTGAAGCTTTTTTTATTGTCATTGATGTCTAATCTGGTTTTTTTTACTTCTCTGAGGATTTATCTATCCTGTCAATCCTTCTGGACTTCCTTACAGTTGTTATTGGATTCCTGAATGATGGAGTCTTATAAATCTTTTCTGTATCTTTGGAGAAATGGACAATTCATCAGTTGTTGCTACTTCAAGAAGTGCTATGTTTAGCTTCCTTATTCTGCATGTCATTGTTCCTCACTGTTAGATTGGTTTGCATTTTTTCCTACTTGATCTGTCTCTGAAAGATATGTTAATATTTCATTATCCTTTGCTGGATTTAACTTTTTCTTGCCATCAGTATTATTTGATTTTATTCTGTATGTATCTTCAGTCCAAATTTCATTTCAGAGTAGTCTAGGATGTATTATACCCTCCTGGTTAATTAAAATGTTGAGTGTTTAATGGCTGTTATTTTTTTATCTTGGCCTATTATGGCCTGAAAGTCATATATTAAGCTGTATTAGTTTTCCTTTAGTGAATATTTTCATGGTATATCTTTTCCAATCCATTTTGTTTCCTGTCTTCTATTTCCTTATGTTATACATTTGTCTTTTTCAGTCAACATATTTATTTCACCCATTTTGGCAAACTTTATTTTTTCTGATTTCCCTCTGATAGTAAAATATTTAAATCAGAGGAGAGATATGCCAACAAGACAGAGTGGCTCCCAGTCTTGCAACATTTGGCTGTGAACCAGCTGAATAGATTAACACACCTAGAATATGAGCTACTCTTGTCTTTGCTGTTTTCTTTCACACCTAACTCTTCCCACTTACTATGCACTTTTGTGATTTACTTCTGGATCTTTGTATAGTTGCTTTTTCCTTTTCCTTCTGGTAAGACCTTCAGTGCCCCTTCCTTTACTATTTTCTAGAAAATCAATATCCACCTGTGTTCTCTAGCTTTACCCCTTGTTTTAATTTCACTGCGCATTTAAGTTCTGTCTTAATTTTATCTATTCATTCATTCATGTACTTGGTGTTTATAGCTAAGTCATTCTAAGTTCCACAAATACAGGTGTTCTTGTATCCATCACAGTCAGAGAACTTAGTAGAGTTCCAGGCATACAGTAGACACTAACCTGTAGTGGTTAAAAGACTAAGCCATCCTTAAAGAAAGGATATCAATTTGAAGGAGGAGCCAACACCTGGGGAAGCAATGAAAATGTGACACATGAGCTGAGATCAGCAGTGACCTATACCCAGCATTGTTCCAAGAGAGAAACACTCTCACCAACAGCATGAACTTAGGCCCTATAATTAAGTTCATTCTCCCCCTGACACTTCTTGAATTTGTGCTTATGAGCATATTAGTTAACTCTTCTGTGCTAGTTTCTTCATTATAAAATGTGATAATAATGGAATTTGTCACAACATACATTAAATAAGCTAATTCATAGCTTAGAACAGTGCTTGGGCCACAGAAATCTTCCCTCTGTGTTAGGGACTAGTATTACCAGAAGCATCTCTATCAAAAAATGATGTACTATGCTGCTGTCTTAGCGTGATGATGTTAGAACTTTCAATCAATCTAAGTTTCCCTTGCACTGATTCTATATTCACAAAGGAATCTTCAAATGACTGTTTTGCTTCCCTTTTCATATGAAATAGGGAGTTAATTGTCCAGGTCCTTTCTTGAGACTCAGGGCTGTTAAATTCATTATAAATTAATAAATTTTTTTTGAACTGACTAATAAATCTGTCCATAAGGGTAAATTGTCTGGATAGGCTATCTAAACATAGAATATTCTGGTTCACTCTGTCAGTTACTTTTTGTGAATTAATTAACATGGAGTTTTGTTTAAAATCTTCATAAAGATGATTAATACCTAAGATATTGGTCTGTCTTGAAGGTATCAGGCAAAGACCCTGAACTATGAAGTCAGTGTCTTAGAAAAAAGTGCTAAACCTCTTCCAGGCTGACAGCAAATAGTCTCCCTACATTCCATATGCAGAGCTTTCCGGTCATTTGAAATTTTAGGATCACGCTATTATCTTTCTGTTATAGATGATCAGAGAAGCACTCACCCAAGATCTCATGAGCATCAGTGACTGGACCCGCAATCAGTCTCCACTTGTGCCATCAGCAAAGCTTTTTACTATATAGGTACTTGGCTTCAATACTACCAAGCAGAAGGTTGATCAGAAAATTCTTCATGTACAGATAAGTCCTTTGCAATATTTGCTTAATAGTAAGAACTTGATGTAAAAGAACTTTGCAAAATCAAGGGAACTTTTAGTTACCTATGCAGCTCCATTTATAGTTACTCTCAGTATACTCATAGAGTATTCATTCCTCATACAGATTTGCTAGCATAATGTCAATAGTGCTTTACATTTTTATGTTACACTCAACAAACTGAGGTAATAGGTTTAATTGGTGAGGAAAAAGAACATGCTTGGTGTAAATTTATTTTTTTTTATTTTTATTTTTTTTGTTTTTCTTCTGGTAGCAGGAATCGAACTCAGGACCTTGTGCTTGCCAGGCAGGCACTGTGCTGCTGATCTAAATCCCCAGCCCTGCTTGGTGTAAATTTAAAAAACTACTTCAGAAAAGTGAAATGTGGAATGCAAGTTACAGTTTAGCTGATTGAATAATTCGGTCATTCGAATTTAAATTTTTCATCCCCCAAATCCATTTGGATTAGCAGCAGATTTCTTATAAATAATATCTTCTCACATATATCAGTAATGTAATTGGTGAACTATTTGACAAGACAGTGGAAACTGAAATAAAACTATCACTTTGCTTTAATTCTGTTGTTGGGCTCTGCTCTATTTTCTGAAGATGAGTTTCCCCTCGTTCCATCCATCTCCTCCTGCTTAGAAGGCACCTACACTGCTGAGCTCTGTGGTCCTGGTTTCAGGTTTTGTTGAATATCATCTTTATTAATGCCTTCAAAAATAAATTGAATATTAACAAATCCATGAGATATCATGGCCAGTCACAGAAAAATCGAAACAAACTGAAATGAAAGCATGGAATTCTATGGTAAAGAATGCGGTAATAATGACAAATGAAAAGAATGACAATTAAATTAGAAGAGAGGAGGAACATGGAAAACTGTAGTAATAATGCTAAATAAAGCTCAAGAACAGTGATATACATACATTTATTTGGGTGGGGGCTGTACCAGGATTCAAACTCACACTTGCCAGGAAGGCACTACACCATTGCGCTAAATCCCCGGCCCCCCAGTGATATGTACTATTCCATATGTACTATATTGCATATGTATATTCCATTGTGTGTTAATTCAAGAAAACATACATGTCTTATATACTTGAATGTAATTTAGGAAAAGAGAACAACATCATTAAGAATATCAAAAGACTACCATTAAAATTGAAAAATTTATCTTAGCACTCCTGAGATTTATGCTTTCTTTCCATTTGTTTATTTATTTATTTATTTATTTATTTAAGATCCTGGACATTGACCACAGGACCTTCACACCACACTGAGCTACCTCCCCAGCCTGTTTCATTTTTCATTGTGAGACAGAGTCTTGGTAAGTGGCTCAGACTGGACTCAAACTTTTGATATTCAGCTTCAACCTCCCAAATCCTGAGATGAAAGGTGTGTGCCACCAAACTTCTTTACTTTTTATTCTGTTCCTGTTCTCTTGGTTCACCTTTCCCTTTGCAGCCCCATGGATGATTTCTCTTATTCCCTCAGAGCCTTGGATCTTTTTGCAAATAGAGGCAGTGTACAAGCATCCAGTGATCACTTGCCTGAGCTGTGAGTTCTCACTCAAGTCTCTGTGTGATTTTAGATTGCACGATGCACTGTCTCATTATATAAATATTTCTAAACATTTTCCACTTAGGTGTATTTGCCCTTTGGTTCTATACAATAATTTTGTGGACATTATTTATTATTTTTTAATGTTTTAGTAGATTTTCATAGTTTTATGCTTGGATCCTTCAGTAGCATTTTTGCAGTAATATACTACATTTCATGTAGAGTTTTCAGTTTGTTTAAGGCTAGATTCTTGTCCCAGAAATTGAGTTATATACAAGTGTTAAAAGAAAAACAGGGGCTGGAGATGTAGCTCAGTGGCACAAGTGCTTGCCTGGCAAGCACAAGGTCCTGAGTTCGATTCCCAGTACCTAAAAGAAAAGAAAAGAAAAAAAAACAACGACCATAACAACAACAATAGTACTACTACTATTACCAGTGGGTTCTTAGGTATTAGTAGTAGTGAAGCAAGACAAAAATGAAAATCAGAAGTATAGAAAACACGTTTTCAAAAACAAACTGCCATTTCATTCTCAGACTTTAGGAAAGTTTCTTAACCCAAGTCCTGAGTAGTAAAATGGAGGAAATTATACTCAATTTGTACATCTGACCACCTAGACATAGGGGTGATTTTGCTTTGTAAATAAACTGACTCAAGCAACCATTCTTTCTCTAAACCACTTTCCTGGTATTCACTGTCTCTCTGCTTGTAACTCTTTTCTATAAAGACATATTGTCTCATAAGAATACTTCTCTGTTATGAAGTTTTTAGCGAATACGCTGGAAAGAGTGTTTTATTCTACTAAAAAGCAATAGGAAATGTGAAATTTAGATTACACAGATTTAAAAGGAGCAATAAATATGTTCTTGAAGTTACAGCTAAAAAAATAAAAAAATGCTCTATTTTCTACCATTATTCCAATTAAATGACAAAAACAATCACCAGAATATAGTGATTTGGGGACTTATTTCAAAAGTTGTATACATAACATTAAACTTGTTCATAGTCGATAAAACTTGGAAAAATAGGCATTCCACGATGCTACCAAACGGCTGCAGTGCCCTGATAAAAGTTAGAAATTGCTTTAGGTAATCTGTCAGTGCAAGCAAATGTCCAGCAATCTCTCCTGCTAATGTCAGGCTGCCTAATCACCACATCTAATAGGTCCTGGCATCTGCATGCTTCAGTGGCCAGCAATGGCATAACGGCCAGTCCTCGGCAGTAAAGAGTTAAACACTCCTCAGTCCACACTTTGAACAAGTTTTGTGCCATGCCCTTTTAGACAATGACTAGCTGTTAAGCGCAAAACTAATTAACATTTCAAAAACTAGTGTTAATCAGTATTAGGAAGACTCTGGGGAAACACTTCCCTGCAGAGACCTTTTTCTTCTTTTGCTTTAAAGCAATAACTTCTAAATTATTACTTTAATTTTAAGTTGTGTTTGGCACACAGTAAACAAACTTGAAAATCAGGATGCTAAAAGAAGTGGAATCCAACTCAGTTCCTTATTTCTTATTCTTTGTAATAGAGGCAACCTCTGTTGCCCTGACTTTTTGCTTATAGAAGCCATTTCTATTCAGTGCTCCGCAAGGTGGGCCCATACACTCAGAGACGCAGAATGTGTGAGTGGTGAAACCTCATGCCTTATAGCATGACTCTTTTACTGCTGCCATCTGTAGGGTTGAGAATAAGCACCTTCTGAGAGATTAAAATTATCTCATTTAAAATTTTTTACTCAGATTTGGGAATTCTGTAACCAAAACTCCTTCTTATTGCCTCATTTACACACATGATCCCTGAGGTACAAAAATCAGAAAAATAGCCCCATGGGACCTCTAGTTTAGAACATCCACTTTTACTGTCCTCATGGATGAATGTTTAAATGAAAGGCACTAATCATCTGCTTAAAGTCCAGTATCTCTTAATTGGGGTAGGTAAATACTCTTCACAACCTACTCTTCACCCAAGAACTTCCTCAGGTTAAAATATTTTTTAAAATGTATTTTTTGCCGTAAACACTGTTTGGAGCTAACATGCTCACTTGATAGATACAGATCGGTGTAACACTTTTAATAAGTGCTTGGTGGTATATTGGCTCTCCGGGCTCAGGATATTGTTCCTGCGCTTGCTAACTTTGTGTCCTTGCTGCTAAGGTTGTCACACTAGGTTTTTGTTTTCTCATTTATAAAAGGAAGCTAATACTAGCTACCTCGTGCTCACTGTGAGCCTGAAAGGCGATAGTACATACACTCTTCCCTGCACATAGTAAGAGTTTGTTCAAGCTATACAGTAGATAAAGGTGTATTTAGATGGCAAGGTCAGGACCAGTAGAAAAATCAGCTCATATCATGGAAGACTGAAGTACTGTAAGATGCCTCTGAAACGCTGGATACATTTGCGGGGGTACTTTTTCCTTTTGTGGTAGTTATATCAAAGAAGCTGCATGTGACAATATAGATATGAAGTGGTGTGTTTCTTGTTACTTCGCCTTTAAAAAATGAAATAAGTGGTTCCAGAGAGTTCCTGGAAAAGAAAATAATCTGAGAAAGGACCTCATACCTGTGAAGATTTCAAATAGTCACAGTGAGAGCGATGGAAGTCATCAATGACACATTTTTTTTTATAACCTTACAGGCTGCATCTCACAAGCTGGGTAACAAATATAATCTTGAAGCCCATAATGATTTGAGGTTGTGAGGAAAACGATACTGAAGACTTCTGCTTTGGTCGGCACAATGTGCACATCTTAAAGCCCTCTGTGAATTGTCTCTCTTCCTGGCAGCCCTCTCACATTGCCCTGAGAGCTTTGCAATAGATTTTCACACTTAATGACATCCAGTCCAACCAGCTTCCAAGAACATTTGGTTTGACCACCCAAGCCGAAACACCATTTCCCCTAAATCAAACTCATTACTACATAGGAAGAGCTCTTTGGATTTAAGTGCACACAAGGAAAATTCAGAATTTCCTCCATCATTTTTAAGAGATATTTTATCAGTGGTTTTATAGCCAGTCCTGAGAAAAAAAAAGAAATGGAAGGCAGGAAACAAGGGAGGGGATAGAGTAGTGATGCTGTACTTTATGTGTTCTTTCCCTAATTCCAGTAATTACAAGAGAAAACACAACAGCAAAACTACAAAAAGATGCAAGTGTCTTCATTCTTTGAGTTAGAAAATTCACTGTCTAACCACTGAGTTTCCAGGGCCTGGTGTACTAACCATGAGTGCCAGAAAGTCAAAATTCACAAATATTTACAATTTCTGCTTACTTTCCTCATTCAGGCTATCTGAGAACCTAAGAAGTAGGTCTACTTCCCATGCATGTAATAATTGAAATCTCAGAAAAGGCTGAAAATAAAGAACATGACAGTCTTTCTAGCTGAAAAGCTCTACTTACTTCTAAAATGTTGTCGCTCTTAGGTAAATTTGCCTCTTACTCTCAGGAAGTTAGCAAAATCTGGTCAAGGAAGGATTATAGAGAGATCATAAAACTATTAAGAATTAGAGTATATGAACTCAAGGGAAAGAATGAATGATGGAGCTGTGTACATTTAGACAAAAAGAGCATTGAAGTTGCATAAAATTTACTTTTTGAACATAAAAGTAAGGAACATCTTTTAGGAGGAAATAAATTACAGGCATGTCTTAAGTTTATGGTATAAAATGTGATCTATTAAATATGCTTTTATAGGTTCAAGAAAATAACACATGCTCCAAATTCTTAAGAATTAGAAGAGAGAGACGAAGCTAAAGAAGCAGGACGTTTTCTCTTTCTATATAATACAGACCTATCATTAAAATTTATTAGCAAGTGTGATTTACTCTCCTAATAAGACAGTCAAGAAGTATACAAACTCTGCTTTCAGAATTGCAGGGATCAAACGCTTACATCTGCATGCTTTTATTTTCCCACCTGTAAACTTGTGATAATAGTATTTACTCTATAGAATTTTGAAGGTTACATGGAATGAAAACACAGGTAAACATTCAGTGGTGATGAGGACAGAGGAGCTGTCAGTAAATATCAGACATTAGTGGTGGTACTGTTATGTTTAGTAATCAGAAAAAGCAGTACCCAATTTTATAAAGTAAAAATGAACTTGCAAAGCATATGAAAGCAAACGTCATTTTTCAAGTTCCTTGTGTAGCATCTGTTTGTTCCAGGTCTGGGTGACCGCTCCCTGTGAGAGTTTCCCTGACCATTTCTTCTGCGTGTGTCCCTGTATTCATCACTATCCCTGCACCATGGGTATTTATTTTTTTTAAATGTCTCATTTCCCCATTAATTATCATTTACTTATTTCTCCTTCACCTCGCTTGAGAGTCTGCTGTCCATTATGGAGGAGGGGCGGGGTACAACCAGCCTGTAACACAGTTCTGTATACCCAGGCTGCACATCATGTCTGCTCATGGAGCAGAAACAATTGATACTTGGGTCAGTCCTCTTCGGCTCCTCGTAGCATGAACCCGGTTCAAATTATCACAAAAGAAGGATCCACTGTGTTGAGCAACGAACCACAAAGAAATGCAGGTACAGTAGGCTTCACTATGGTCTGAATTTCTGATGTCTAGATGCTGTCCTCTTTCTTTTTATGTCTACATCTTTTGAATACTTGTTCTGTTCAGAGCCCATGACTGCTAACAATCCTGAGACCACAGTCTTCTAACTCATGGTTTCAAAGGAAATAGAATTTGCTGTTGACCAAACCTCTGTCGCACATAGCATCTTGGGTGAGATTGGTGTGTGCAGACTGGCATCCCCCGAGCCCAAGGAATCCAGAGCTGTGAACGGATGAGTAGAATGCAATAGAGAAACAGAAAAAATGTGTATCCATCAGTAAAATCAATCATACCAGCATTGAGAAAATGTATAGGATCTTGTTTTCTGTGACTTGTGCTGTCAGACACTGGAACTGTAAGTTCCTTGAAATTCTTTTTCTTAAGGAATAAAATTTTAATATAAATCTCAGGCTAC